ACCCAAAGGAGGCCCTTCCTAGGACTTTCGGTCACCTGGCTGGCTCTCTCATCGCACCCTCCTCAGTTCTACCGGTTGTCACCCTAATAACACTTCTGAAGCTGCAGCTTTGGCTGTCTTAGTAAAAGTGTATTGGTGATTGATTTCTGCTACCCCTAAGTAGTGGCTCCCAGGCCCTTTTCCCAGATGCCATCGGCTCTGCTTCCTTTTCCTGTCTCTCAGAAATGGAGATGCAGTCCGTGTGTGTACTGCCTCGGGCCTGCCTATTACCCAGTCAGGAGAGTTCTCCCGCCGACAGCTTCTCTCCAGGCCTCTTCAGGTTTGAATCAGGATTTGTCTAAAGGGCTAATTTGCTCAGAATACCTAATGCAGAGACGGCAAATACATTTCGTGTTGTTCATTAACCCTGACTGATTGGAAGTGGCTGCCTGGAGCGTTGATCAATTAGCAAAGACTGTCAGGTATGTGTGTGTGCATGAATGTGAGTGTGTGCGTGAGTGTGCACACACGCGTGGGTGTATATATGTGTGTAGGGGCTGCGGGATTCATGTCAGATATTTGCCATCATTGATTTAAGGGGTTCATTAATTCTTTCCATAACTGGGTGCCACATTTACAACCCGGATTCTTTGCCTTGGAATTTTTTCCTGCGGTAGCTGAGCGTAGGAAACTTCAGCTAAAGCGTTTGTAATTTAAAACCCCCCTTAAACAGCCCCTGGATAGGTATTCAACAGAGACATGCTGTGGTTTCTGCCCAGGGCGTAGTAGTCAGCTTTCGTGCAGGAAGTGGTGAGCTCTGACATCCCAGGAACAGCAAGCTGTATGGTGACAGGGACAGTCCAGCTCCGGAGAACCCTCGTCGGGTACTGCCAGACACAGTGTGAAAGCCCTACTCAGCAGCTCTAGTGATGAGATGACAACTGAGTGTGCCAGGGCTCAGGGCTGAGACCACTGGGGCAGCAGCCGGCATGTGTGACGAAGGGTGTCTCTTGCAGCCCTGACTGACCCCAGCTTCCACTGGGCTCTTGAAAACACAGGGCCATTCATGATTCCTTCTGCAGAATGGAGCTCCACAGGGATGTCCCAGTTCTGGAAACATGGCGGTTTGAGTCTAGTGCATGCATGATCAATGAAGGCAGAGTGTCTGCATGGGGGTAAGAGCAGAGGAAGACCTGGCAAGATGGAAGCCTCAACAGAAAACTGACTCTTCACGAATAATTTTCGGGGTCTGAAGTCACAGGGGCTCCAGCGATCACTCTGCTCTCTTTCAACTCACACACCACTACAGATTAATCTCCCAAAGCCCCCTTCCACATGAGGATCCAAGATTTCAATGATCTTTTTGTCACCTATTGCGTAAGTCTACCATTGTGATAAAGTGAGGAGGAGGGGAAAAAGTTGAACCATTCTGGGCGACAAGTTCTGAAATCTTGGATTTCTTGTTGGGGGAGGTGTGGGAGGTGCGGCACCCAAATGGCCCCACCAGATTGGTCCCTGCCCTGTATGGAAGGAGGTGGTACGGGGGAGTAGTTAAGCCCCTTGGCTTTGGAAGTGCACAGACCTGGGTTTAACTTCCAGACCTGGCACGTACTACCTGTGTAACTTCAGGCGAGTTACTAAAACCTCTCTGGGCCCCCTTTTCCTCATCTGTAAAACGGGGATAACCAACCACAGAGGTGATTGTGGGGATTAAATGAGGTGAACCACAAATGGGGCTTAGGTCAATGACTGGCCCACACCAAGTGTTCCCCCTGGGGCACTGTTATCACTGTGACATAAAGAGTTTCTGGGAAAGCTTCTCTGGGTGCTGGTGTGGTTCACAGAACTGAACTCATGAACTTCAACGCTTATTGGATGAGAAGGAGAGTGGCACAGGAAATAACGACGTCCCTGGTCACTATTATTAAAATAGTAGGATGTGGTTGCTCGGCGCTGGCCCCAACCTCAACAAGGCCAAATCTGAATTCTTCACACTCCTTCTCCAAACTGCTCCTCCTGCATCTCCCCATCTCCATCCTCAGCTCTCAAACCTTGACTCCTCTCTTCCCCTTATACCCTAGAGCCACACATGGGAAAACCTCTCTTGCCTGGATTATCATGATGACTCCTAAGGGGCTTCTTGCTTCCCCTGTCGCCTTCTTGTGTTTATTCTCCACCCACTGGAGACTGTCATGTCTAAAACCATAACGGTTTCTGATCATGCCCAGGATAGAAGCCAGCATACTGAGGGTAGCCTCACAGACCTTGCAAGATCTGCCCTGTGTCCTCTCTGACTCATCTCTACCCTCCCCACCTCGCTCACACCCCTCCAGCCACAGTGACCTGCTCCCTGAACGCACCAGGCACGCTCCTGCCTCAGGCCCTCACGCCCAGTGCTCCCTCTGCTGGAAGCTCTTCCCTAGACAGCCACATGGCTTGCTCCTCATCTCCTCCCTTACTCAAATGTCACCTTCTCAGGAGGCCTTTCTCAACTACTCTATTTTAAATTGTCCCCTGTGGTAGGCTGAATAATGGCCCTTAGAGATATCCACATCCTAATCCCAGGAACCTGTGACTGTTACCTTATATAGCAAAGGGGATCTGCAGAAGTGATTAAGAATCTCCAGATAGGAAGATCAGCCTGGATTATCTGGGTGGCCCAATGTAATCACAAGGATGCTTACAAAAGAGAGGCAGAGGGAGATTCGACTACTTATATTGAGACAATGTGACAATGAAAGCAGAGACTAGAGTGATGCAGCTACAAGTCAAGGAATGCCAGCAGCCTCTAGAAGCTGGAAGAGGTCAGCTTCTCAGGCAAGATTCTCCCTGAGATCCTCCAAAAGGAGCCGGCCCTGCTGACACTCTGACTTTAGCCCAGTGAAACTGATTTGGGACTTGCGGCCTCTGGAACTATTCAAGAGAATAAATTTGTGTTAAGCCACCAAGTTTGTGACAATTTGTTACAGCAGCCGTAGGAGACTAATACACATGTGTGTGCACACCCCCCCCCCTCCCCCCCCCCCCATTCTCCTTCCTGCTTCATTTTCTCCTCCAGCCTTGTCTGACACCCTGTATTTTCCTTGTTAGGGTGGTCCGTCTCCCTCACTAGGGTGTCAGCTCCACAGGCACAGGAGCCTTTGCTGTTTTGTTCTCTGATGGATCCCCAGTGCCTGCATTAGGAGCTGCTTTTTGTGGAATGAATGGATGGGTGTCAGTGTGGACTCTGGCTAGGCCTCCAAAGAGGGGCAGCCCCTCCCTCGCTGTGGCCCCAGCTCCCACAGGAACCTGCCAGGCTGTCCCATCCCAACCTACAAAGGGCACCAGCCTGCTCGTAGGACGCCAAGACCACCCTCCTTCCTGCCCTCTGGAAGCCTCAAATGCCGGGAGGTGGTCTGTGAGTGGTGTACGTGGGCTGGGGTGTGGTGTCCCAGGCGAAGCTCTGGTGACTGGCAGGCCCCATCCTGCCCCCATCCGCCTGGAATGCAGGGGACGCAGTACCTGTGGAGGTCTGGCAGGAGCACCCGGCTTGGGGACCGCAGCATCCCTGGTCTCAGCTTTCTCGTGCATAAACAGGGATAACTCCACGACCCCATCCGGGGTGTGGCCAGAACTAAGCGAGATAAGTGGTTGCTAATCCACTCTCATTTCAGTGAGATATCGCTTATTCTTGTTTTGTGACGAGCTGTGTGCTGCTAGTCCATTTCAGAGAAGCAGTGGGGCCTGGGCTTGTCCTTGTGGTGCTCAGGACAGGTGGCAGGTCGTGGTGGGCCCACCTAATGGGCTCTGGGGCCTGTCCTGGAGTCACATTCCCAGGGATTCTGGCCTAAAGGGATAAGGACCCAGATTGCAAGAAGAGGCAGCTGCCTCCCTGGTAACCCTCGCTGACAGGCCCCTCCTCACCACCTGCCAGTGCCTCTCCGTGGGATGCTGGGCTAGCCCATGTTTCAGAGAGCAAGTCCCCGTGAGGCTCCGAACCCTCCAGGGCCTCCAGAGACCTCCTATTTCTAGGAGCCACCACTGCTCCCTGGACGTGATCAGACAATTTCTGAACAAGTTAGGACATCAGTGCTGAGGGCAATGGTGGTGAAATCTTAGGGCCAAGCCTTTGAGAGCTCTCAGACACCGGGCCCTGAGTCTGTAGTGCGGAGCAGGAAACCAAGGCAAGGGTGAGGGGAGTGGGGAGTGGGGGACGGGGGTCGCTAACCTGGCCTCACCTCCAGCTGTAAGGTGTGAAGCCCTCCTGTCTCTACCCAGCCGTGTTCTCAGATCCGGTCAACTGCACAGTCACCATGGTGATGCCCCCACCTGCCCTCCCAGAGCCCCCAGAATCTGTCCCAGCAAAGTGACAATTCCCCAGGAAGGGCCCTTTCACTCCCCCTTGCTGAGTTAAACTCGTCCCTGGGTGGAAGGCCCTGGAAGGCTCAGTGTTGGGAGAAGAGGCCAGGGGACCACCGTGACTCAGGAGTAGGGAAGGCTTGGACACGGTGAGCCAGCAGGGGGAGGCCAGGGTCCAGGGGCCGTGGCAGCAGAGCCGAAGGTTAACAGCTGAGGCCTTGGTGGCGGTTAGGGGATCAGATTGCCCCAGCTCTGCCTCCTGCTGGCCATGTGATCTTGGACACAGGACAACCTTTCCAAGCCTCAGTTTACTCAGGTATAAAATGAGAATAGTAAGAGTACCAATGATAGGATTGTTGTGAAGCTTAATTTACATGAGAATAATCATGTGAACAGCCTGGCAGGGGGCCTGGCACATGGTTAGCACTCAACAAATGTTAGCCATAGTGATGACAACAAGGGTGATGATGACTCCAGTGGGTTCTGTGGCCCAAGGACTTTATTCCTCGATCCCACAACACCGTGCAGCCTCTCACTGTTTCCCATGGGATGGGGGAGAGGGACCGGGGGCTCCCACATCCACAGGCAGAGAGGACCCTGCTCCTGCAGTTGGCGCTCTGCACCGGCTGTCTCAGGCTCACAGCGGCGGGAGGAGAGGTCACGGGCAGTGTCGAATCCCTTACCTTGGTTGTCATAGGAAGTGATGATCTGGGTCTGTTGAGGATGCTGCTTCTCTGCCAGGTTGCCTATTTAAGGATGACAGAGAGACCTGCAATAACCACTGGGATCACAGGGGACTCTTCCCTGGGCAGAGCAGAGAACTGTGTGTGTTTGCAAAGACAGGCAGGCTGGTGGGGGCCGAGCTCATCCCAGGCCTAGCCCAAACACGTGCACACACCCACAGCGTGCATAGCCGTGAATCAGCACAGGGACACATCTGAATGCAGAGGCAAACGCCTGAGAGCCCGTGTGCACACACCCTCACACCTCTCAGCGGATGCCAGCACAGGCTGGGTTTCTTCCCAAGAAGCCGAGGAAGCGTCCTGTGGGCTAAGTAACTGCAACTCTCGACTTTGGTGTCGCCAGGCACAGTTTCCACAGCACACAGGGATGCCTCCCTGATCTTCCCACGTCTCTGTGGAGCGGGTTGGGAGGTCCCTGTCCCGATTATACAGCTGAAGAGCCTGCAGCTTGGACTGGTCACCTTTTTGCCAGGGAGGGTCAGACCTGGGACTTGAACTCCAAGTCTCCTGACTCCTAGCTCAGCCTCCTGCCTCCTGCTGAGAAGAATGGGTAGCCTGCCTCCTCCTGCAGCCTAGGAGTTGGGGTGACCTGCAGTTTGGTTCAGCTTCACAAACGTTTGCAGGGCACCCCCATGTGAAAGCTCTCTCTACACACTAGCGATATTTATGTCCCCAGGACACAGAGTGTCCTCAGAGCCTAGTGGGGTCAGGCTGCCGTGGAGAGATGCCCAGCTCCTGCCATAGGTCACCAAGGACCGGCAGGCTCACCTGCCCCTCTTGTGGGAGGCACCACCTTTCTACATCTCTCCCTTCACAGCTGCTGCAGGGCTGGGCCTTGCTGAGGCTGCCCTTGAACCTCTGCTTCAGAGGGCTGGGAGGAGGGGCTGGGGAAGGGCCAGGGTTGTGGCAGCAGGAGGTTCCCACATCACTACCACTCTGGCCTGCCATCTTCGCCCCTGGCCTCCTGCTGGTCTTCAGAAAGGCTGCCCCTGGAAGTGACCACTGGGACCATGCCTGGGCCTAGAAACAAGCACACCTCTGGGGCGCGGGCCTGCCCAGGCTCCATTCAGATGACGTCCCCTGTGCACCCAGCCAGATCCATAACTCAGTGCTTCCCATGCCTGGACCCATGCAGAAGCCAGTCAAGGTGGGTGGGTAGGGCACTGAGCTGGGCTGGACTTGCAATCCACCTGGCCGGGTCCTGCCCTGGAGAAGCCCGCCTGCTCCAGCCTTCTCCTCTGAGCAGGCCCAGCCAGGCCCCTTAGCCCCCAAGCCACGGTTGGTGGGTCGGCCAGGGGCCAGGTCCACTGAGCCCTCAGCTGGGTGCGCCAACCCAGGGTGATGTGGTATGCAGGGTTGGAGCTCCAGGCCAGATTCAGGCGAGGACAAGGAGGCCGCCTCCTGTGGGCACAGCTGGCTGCTACTCTGCTCAGCTGGCCGAGGGAGGAAACAGGATCTGGGAAGGGAATCCTCAAGGAGGGTGATTGGCTGGCATAGCTGCTGTGGGGTATTTATAGTCAGGGCTGCACAACTGGTTTCCCTGTAGCTGTGGGGTGTCAGTCCCTTTGCTGCTAGGCAGACTTCGGCCAGGACCACGGAAAGCAGCCAATCACAGCAGGGGCAGCCTGTTGCCGGGCAAGCTAGTGGGGGTGGCTGGGCCCAAACACCTGCTGCTTGGAAAAGTCTGGAGCTCTCCAGGCTCCCCCTCCCTGCCAACACCCCAGCCCAAGGAGTGCGCAGGCAGCAAGAGGGGGGACATGTGCCCTTTTGGATCAATGCCATGTTCAGCCACATTTGTGCACACTCCATTAGCACAAGCCATCAGCTGCTTCCTTCTCAGAGGAGAGCCATGCAGTTTCCAGGGCTGGGCGGCCTGTGGGTTACCAGGGCTGGGTGCCTTGGGCACCAGCAAGGTGAGCACGTACCCAGAATCTCACCATCAGAAACACAGAAAGAAGCTGTAATCTTAATTTCTGCGTGCATGCAAACATGCCATTAGAAAAAAAAAATAACATTTTACTTTAAATTACATATATTGGTGGAGTGGTGGAACCATCATCTTTTCCAGGCTCAAGGCCTCTGTAGAGCCTCTCTCCAGCCCTGCGTTTACCCGAAACTCGCAGTTCTCGGGTGGTTTTACAAGAACTACTTTAATCATCCTCTTTATCGCCTGCACATTGCACAAAGACTCACTTCATATCTTCTAGAAGAGTCTTGTAAGTCTTGTAATAGTTACTCTGTCCCTTTGTGTTTTGTTGTATTTTTCTACTAACTTTCCCCCAAACCAGAACCCTAAAGATAGTAAAAATAGGATGAACTCAGTGTATTTCTATCCTCTTCTGATGTAACAACATGCCTGAGAAGCCATAAGATGGAAGTCAGATAACTCAGGCAGGTAGGAGAGCTGCCACAAACGAAGACGCTGCATCTCTCTCCTTCTGTCTCGGCCCACTCGCCAGCTCACCCACGCACACACTGGCCGAGCACGCCTGCCTGCATGGGCTGCTGTGCATCTCTGCAGCTGACAGGTCTCTGGAGGCCTGATTCTTAGTATAATTCTCACCAGCCAGCAGCAGAGTTTCACTAACTTTGGCATCTGCTTCAGTAGAGCTGGGGCTGGGGCATCTACCATCTGAGGGTCCTGATAGCAGGGTTAACGAAGCTGTCCTGCCCACGCACGCCTGTCAGCCAGGACTCAGAGGAGTGGTCCTCCAGGGGGTGTCTTGAGGATGACTCGTCCCCATGCACAAGGCGGGACACACTTGGGCAAGCTCTTCACTTCCAAGGTGTCGAGACTTGAGTGCAGTGAATGGACCCACAAGGGCAGGGATTCCTGACTGTCTTGTTCACTGTTTCATCCCCAACAATTAGAACCCTGCCCACACAAAGTAATCACCGTAGACCTTTACTGAGGGAATGAATGAATGAATTAACTTTAGAACATCATCCTTCCCTTTCACTACTATCAGAAGGATGGCAGAGCATAGCTGTTTGGTCTTGTTCAATTGCCGTCCTGTTTCCCCTTTTGTCAGGGTCATGGGGGTGGTTCCTTCACACTGGCATTAAGTGAGTCAGTTGTCTGATCAGGGGTCTGACTGAGCCCCCTACTGGGCCCTGGGAGGGGAGGTCTGATTCTTATTAGAACCCTCACATGCCCACAGTGCGGTGTCACTGATGTTTGTTCCCGGCAGCTGAGCTAGTGAATCTCTGAAGCGCACAGAATAAGGGCCAGTATGGTCGGTCCATGCACAGCATGCCCAGAGGGATCTTGGGCCTGCAGGGCAAAAGACGCCTGGCACCAGCAAGAGGAGGCTTTGGAAGCTGACTTCTCTCTGATCTTATTGTATTGTCGGTCCCGGGCCAGCAGGGAGCCACAGAACCCTCGACTGGCATCTCCCCAGGCCTTGAGTAATATGGTTCCCAGGCAGGCCGCTTCCTCTCTGCTTGGAAAAATTTTCAAAAGATGGATGACTGCATGACGTGAGCAGCCCCACCTCCCGCGGGAACACACCCAAACCTCACCCACCCAAGTGATGCAAGTTCTTTCCTACAGCTTGGCCAGTGAACAAATGGGTGCTCAAACTTCCAGCATTGCTCCCCCCACAACAGCCTCCGGGACCTGATGCCAGGGAAAACTTTCCAGGGTCACAGTGGCCCCAGAGGCCTGGCTGAGTCACAAGCAGCCACTTTCTGGGTGGTTAGATGTCTAGAGCTAGTCTTCAGACAAGTGAAAGCCAATGCTTCCAGTCATTTTCCAATGAGCTGAATTCCAGAGATCAAAAGGAAAATGCAATGAAAAGAGAGAATTTACCGTGCAGGTCGATTTCTTCCAATTTCTGCCATCTCCGGATTCCGTTTCCAATGCCTTGGAGCCCTGAGAAACGACAAGGCCCGGGGTGAGGCTCTCTGTGGGGAAGAGACCCAGTCTGAGCGAGTGATGAGCCAGTTGTAAATGGTGGAAGGGGGGCTGGTGGAGCCTGGCTCTCTAGGGATCCGAGGGAGGCTGCCTGTGAATGAGATGCGCTTGGGGGAATGAACCCTCAACATTTAAAACCTTTTTTAAAAATATTAAACCAGTAGTTTTCAAGGGAGGTGGGGTCAGTTATCAGGATCATTCAGGGAGAATTTCCACAATATCGATGGCCGTTTTTCACTCCCACATCTCCACTGCATAAATATGGAAGTATTATTGTAGAAGACATTTGCCATTCACTTTACCTGCCTATTTCTGTATGTGGGAATCTCCCACTTTTAGAGTCTTGATGTGGGATGGGGGGTGGGCAAAGACTGCCTATCTTCATGGGAACTGAAAGTGATAGCCGCCTGCTCTCCCAGCTTCCCTTGCAGCTAGAGCATGGACATATGTGGCCCATGCATGGTCAGTCAGAAGCACCTGTATCCAATTCTGTCTTGGGACCTTGGTGATGCAACAGGGAAGGGAATAGAAGCACTCTCTCTCTCTCTTTCTCTCTCTCTGGTGGCGGCTGGAAGTGGTGGCTGCAAGGTCGAGTTCCTGGCACAGAACTGGCATACGTTCTGGCAGCGTGAGTAGCTGCAATAAAATCAAGTTCCTGGCATGGAAGGAGCATCGAGTGCTCCTTGGTGGCAGTGGGGGTTTCCTCACCAGACCAGCTCTGCTGTGCAGCTCATGGCACTGTTCCTGGAAGCTCAGCCTAGAGACTGGTTCTCCAGCCCTTTCAACCACTCCAAGGCCCCCATCCCTTCTTGGCACCCTTCTTTTCTGCAGACTCCTTCACAGTCAGTGTCTGGGGCTTCCCACTCGAAACCCTCACCAACACACTGATGGAGTAGAATGCACATCGACTTGGGGGATAAAACCTAAGACCTTGAAGCTCCTTCAGACTTGGTGTAGGCAGCTTAGGCTACCTCCTCCATGGCCAGGGGAAGACATGATAGGAGTGGAGGGCCTCCAGGCACGTTTTTGAGAAGCCCTGCGCTAAGGAAATGATTGGGGAAATGCTAGGGCCCCAGAGGAAAGGGGAGGGGGCATCGCTGGCCTTGCAGCCCAAATCTCTGTGCACACACTCCTTGCCTCCCTGTTCCTCTGACTCTTTTCCGCCACAAGGACACAGTAGAAGAGCCAGTTGGTCACATCTTCACTCAGTCCTCTGTATAATGACAGTAACTGAGCTTCACTCTTCTGACGTGGAGCTCAGGCCCTCCTTTGTAGAGCCGAGGAAGATTCACTCCCCATTGAGGACCTGGAGCGGGAAGGAGACAGGAGGAGACGCCTGCAAGTGGCTGTGGGTATCTTTTGGATTTTGTGCCTTGACAGGAAGCCTTGGAACAAGCTGGTCGTGTTCAGTGTTTCCCCCTCTTAGGCTGCGTCCCGAGGAGTGGGCCCGCAAGCTGGCTTAGCCAGGGGTCCCCTGGACGTCAGCACTGCCCAGAAGGCCTTGGAGGCCATGCACCGTCCCTCTTCTCTGCTCCAGTGCACAGCTGTCTGTGAATCAGTGACGCAGGTCTCTCCACTGCCACAGTGTTTGGGAGAAATGTCCATCAGGAAAATATTTGGAGAAAAATATCAGCAGAAAAAGCTCAGCAACTTTCCCTGAGTCACGGTCACGAGTGTGAAGTGCTTTGGTCTGGAGTCATGAAGGGTTTATCCCAGGTGTTGCACACTTCTTGGAGCAGTCCCGACCTCTGGTATTTCCGGGGCTTCTCTGTGTTCTTCGTCCTCTCTTTCTAGTGTCAGAGCCTTTAGGAGAGACGTGGTCAGACGGGGACAGGGAGGTGGGGACTTGGGGGCTGACGCGGAGCTGGGCCTCCTGGGGGCCCTCTGGCCTGGCCACATATGGGGGAGGCCTTCTGGACTGCGTGCGTGCAGCAGGAGCAGCCTCGTTTCTCTCAAGGAGCCAATGGCCTCTGCCAATCTCCTCACTAAAATACCCCAGGCGGGTCATTTTCCCTTCTTCCAGCAGCAGCCCTGAGAACTAAAGAACCAACGAACCCAAACAACTCCTGGCCCCCAAATCCCTCCACAGACTGGTGTACCGCACACACTCTCAGCTTTCCAGAACCTATTTCTTTCCCCTGCCTGCCTCCCCCAAGAGGTCACCAGGAGCTATGTTGCAGCTCTAGCCTGTGTGGCTGGTGGGGGCAAAGACATCCACGGCACCACTGCTTCAGGGGGGCAGGTGGAAGGGGGATGTTCAATGTGCACGGGGGCTCTGGGGACGGAAGAGCCTGGAGCAGATTCCAAGGACCTCAGCAGCTGGAGGGGAGGCGGGTGGCAGAAGTCATTTTACTACCTGGCCTGTCAATCATCACCCCCAAAGAACTGGTGCACAGTCTGGTGCACTCCCACACCAAACTTGGCCTGGGCTCCTGAGAGCTTCTTCAGAGACCCAGGAGGATCCCAGACGTTGGAGGGGCTTATTTACCCTCTATATCATCCATCTGTGCTCTCTTCATGTGCCCTCTTCTCAGGAGAATACAGAGGCCTGGGTCCTACTTTCCACAATCGCTCCATAAATAGTCACTTTATTTTACCCTTCTACCCTTCTCCAGAAACTCCGCAGGACAAGTAAAATTAATAGATAAGTGGAAGCGGGGAGAGCAGATTTCAACCTGCCCAAGCCCGTATGCCTTTTACACCTTTTATGCCTTCTACTGGAGGAGGCTGGGAGAGGGCTCGAGAAAGGGGAAACTGAGGCCATGAGCTGTGCAAGGACACCAAGGGAGCTCCCCATCTCCAAGTCTGACTCAGCACACAGATTCCTCCGGGTTCCCTGTGCCCGGCACTGTGCCGTGTGGGGAGCAGGACTCGGCCACCCAGGGCTCAGTCCTGAGGCTCTGGCCCCCTTCCTCCAGGGTATCTTCCAACCCTAATCTGCACCTTTCAGAGAGTCTGTAAGGAAACTGGCTCCCCGGGGTGACGGAAGCACCCACAGGCCTGCACGGGGAGTCAACCCGGGGCAATCACGGGGCTGCGCGTTGCCACGGGACGCCAGAGCCACAGCGCGGAGGCGGAGGCACCCATGGGGAGAGGGTCGGTCTCGCTGACCTCGTTCGGGAGCGCGTGGGGCGCCCCCCGGCGGGCAGGCCCTGGGGCGAGGAGGCCGAGGTGCCCGGGGGTCCGGGGGCCCAGGCCTGGCGCGCTTTACCTCCTCTGCGCTGGAGCAGCGCGCCCGGGTCCGCCTGCCGGTCCGAGTGCGCGCCCTGCGCGGCGCGCCGCTTCTCCGAGTGCACGATCAGCAGCATGTCGATGGACACGGCGTTGCTGTCCTTCTTCAGCTCCATAGTGCCGCCTCGCTCCAGGCCGGCGCGCCGCGGCCGCTCGTGAGGCTGCCTGCGCTGCAAATGGCCCTGTGCGCGCCGCTGCCCGGCGCGGGAGACGGCGAGGGCGCGGGAGAGGGCGCTCCCCCGCCACCGAGCCGCTGGGCGCCGCGTTTCGCTGACTCTGCCAAACACGCCATTAGGGCCCGCCCGGGAGGGCGCTACCCTAATGAAGCGGCTCTAAGTCACCTTTGAAAGGAAATCCCCCGCCGAGCCCCGACCTGCACGCAGGCCGCAGCCGGCAGAGGCTCCAGAGCCTCCCTCCCTGCGTCCCCGGCCTCCTGCCCCGTGCGCTTGAAGCGCCCAGGCTCCAGGCTGCTCTCCGGCTGGCCCTCAGGGCGCTGCCTCATCCCTGCGATCTCTGAGCGGTTCCTGAAAGGGTCCGGAGCAGACCTCCTGCGAAAGCCACGGCAAATACAGAAATCGCACAGCACTGTCAACAGTAAGAGGCAGTTCAGGAAAAGGAAAAACAGCACGCGGCTCCAGATTGAATTGCAAGGGATGGAGAAATTGGCCAGGTTTTGGCCTTGGTCCCGCTCCTTCCCCAGGTGGATTTTCGAGGTCGACAGCTCCCTCTGTAAGAGGGACATAGGTGGGGCGTTGGGCTCAAGACCTCCACACCCCATTATGGCCCCACCAGAACCTGGAACATGCTACTGGGCATCAACCTAACGGTCCTCTCTGGCCTGAAGTGAAAGTCTTAACATCTCTATCCCTTCTAGAAGCCTGGCTCTTGCCTGATGGGGAAGGGGGGAGGGACAGAGGAGGAGGCTGGGTGCAGGGAGCAGCCTGCTTGCTGCCATCAGGGAGCTGGACCTGAGAGCCCATCTATTTTTAGCTACAGCAGCAGCAGGGCCTTTGGCTCTAGATCTCAGGAGTGTTTATAGAGGCATCTGCCTGGTAGCTCTTGGCACAGTGAGTGCACCTGGCTGGGGCCAGTCCCCTAACTTGAGTTTCCACCATTAATAAACACCGTGCACATGGAGGCCTTTGCTCTGGAACCCTCCTCACTGTGGAGTGTAGTGACCTCACTTTGCAGCATGGCCTCTGAGTGCTCCCACCTTCCCCTTGGAGGCGGACTGTGTGGCATGGCCTGGGTTCCAGTCCCAGCTCTGCCACTTGATGCCCGTGTGACCTTGGACAAGCCATTTCCCCTCCACTGTCTCACCTTTATCATGAGCATCATATGAATTCTCCCAGGGCTGTTGTGAGAATGACACACACACAAGGTGCCTGGTACATAGTAAGTGGTCTCCAAATGGTAGCTGTCATTCTTACCTCATTTTAAGGATGAGGAAAGGGACAGATGAAATGACAGGTCAGTGATGCAACTGGGGGTCATACAGCTGCCCTCAGACTCTGGAGAGTTTTCCCCGCTGACTGTGGTTCACAGTTTGGTCACATGTAAAGGCCACTGTCTCATTGCATCACCACCGCCCCCTCACCCACTGGGCATCTGATGAGAGGAGAGGCCCCTGGCTTCCAATGGTGTTGACCTGGAGTCCCCAGAGAGCTGAGCCTCGGCACTGGTGGGGTGGGTGCCTTCTGAGGGAGGTTTCCTCATGCAGTGAGTCCTGGGCTTTCCTGTCCTGTCTGCATATGTGTGTGTGTGTGTGTGCGCGCGTGCACATACACACACACACACACACACACAGGGCTGGGAGGCTGGCTAAGCCTTGCTGCTCTCTAGATGCCTGGGGAAGTAAGAACTATGGATTATTCGAAGCTCCTGGGGTCTTGGAGATTGCCCAGGCAACTGTCTGGTCCCAGTGTTCCCTCACCTGACCTTGGACAGTGGGGCCTACCTCCTTTGAGGGTGCAGATCCCAACAGAAGCTCCCGTCCAGCACCTCTCATTCCTGAATGGGGCTGAGTGGGGAGGGCGGGGTAGCAGAAGCCCCCTTACCTGACATTTGCGTTCCCATCCCCCCACCCTTAGTCCCCTGCTGGAGAGGAACTCACTCACCATGGCACCCCCTCCCAGAGCTGCCTCTGGAGGAGGAGGTAATGACCGGGGGGCGTGCCAGCCAGAGGTCCAGGAAGACAGTCTGGGGGCCTCCTGCCTCTCCAGGATGTCTGAAAACAGATCCTTTGGAGCAGGGCTTCTCATCCATGGGATTATGGACATTTGGGCCAGAGAATTCCGCTATAGGGGGCTGTCCTGTGCATTGTAGGATATTTAGCTGCATCCCTGGGGCCTACCTACTAGATGCCGGTAGCTCCCCCTTCCCAGTTGTGGCAACCCAGAATGTCTCCAGGCGTTGACATATGTTCTCTGGGGGACAAAATTGTGGTGAGAACACTGCTTTGGAGCAAACCCATGAAATAGGAGACGTGTCGTCTTGACTGCTCTGGGAGATGCTGTTGCTCCTGGATCTCGATGCTGTCCAGAACCTGGACCCACTCCCCAGAGGCTCCCACGTGGCCCTCAGCCCAGCAGCTTGCTTCTGGAGGGCTGCAGAGCTGCTCCCTGCCAGGAGCAGGGGCAGAAAGATGAGATGCTTTCCTCACTCCCCTCCTGCTCCCATCCCTGGCCTCTGTTGACTTATCCCTTCATCCTCACTACTTATTTTGGAGATACCATGGGAAGGCGGGAAGGTGATGTGGCTGAGGGCATTTGGATGTATCCAGAAAGGAGAGGGGGAGCAAGAGAGAAGACTGAGGCTATGAGATACCATTCAGAGGGCCCTTTTGCTCAAAACCCCCCTCCAGTTGATCCCACAACCAACAAGACAAAGAACAGACCCTCAGCCTGTGATTCACACCCGGGGTCCAGCCTCCTTCTACAGACCCATCTCTTTCTCTTCTCTGCCAACCCACACATGCTGCAGCCACAGCCATGCCCACTGTTTCCCAAACACATCTGTTCTTTCTGCTTCTAGACTTTGCTCAGAATAGTAGCCTCTCCATCCTGCCACCAACTTGAACAACATGGGATTCAAGGACCTCTATTCTGACTTAACCAATTAATCTACATCCTTGTCTTAGGATCTGACAAACTAGGAGATATCTCCATTCTTGGGCAGAACTTTAATTATTTTAATCACAATGAGCTGGAAATTTTGGGACACAAAAGACAAATAGCAGTCAAAATGGCTGTGTTGTCGCCTTTATCCTCCATCACATGTAATGCTCAGACACGTCCAGCTGTCACCCACACTGCCTCATCCCTTTGCTTGATGGTGGGATTCATCAATTGTTGAATGTTTCTGAGCCCTGAGCTGACTTTGCTGCCGTGGAGATGGGGCATGGGCCACAGAGGAAGGCTTGCTCTTGGCAGTCAAGGCCCTCACCAGAGAGGGGTGTGTTCTGACTCACATTATTATATTTCCTCAGAAATAGTTGTTCCTCAGGGACCACTGGCCATAACTCTTTCACCTCTCTTGAGATCCCAAGAGGCAAGTTTCTGTCTTCCCTGTAGCAGGCAATTGGTAGACATGACTTGCTTTTCTCCATTGGGGCAGCAGGAAAGGGGCACACAGAGCATGAGGCCATGTGGTGAGGAGCAACAGACCAAGGCCTGGTCCCTTAATTCCCTCGCTTCCCCCGAGATGGGCAAACCACGACAGGGGGGCTAGACACCTTTCCCAGAAACCTTTTCCACAGCTGGTGTAGGCTTCTTGTGGTGTCTCGACCAGCCTTGACTTACTTCCACCTCTGAGTCTTTGTTATTGCTATCACCTCTTCCTGCTGCCAACCTGAACAGCAGTGCCAGCCATTATTAGTGGGAACTGGAGACCCAGGAGTGGTCATGAGGGCAGGTCTGGTGATTACCATGGGCATGATCAAAACCACTGCCACCAGAGCCCAGCCTTCTGGAGGGAGTTCTAGGCAAGGGCGGTGATGGTATGAGAAGGTAGTCCGACATCACACCTGTGCTGTGTGAGAAAAGGAGCATCTGGGAGTGTGGGGCAGTGCGTCTAGTTGAGGTAGGGAGCTGGGCTCAGAGCGAGAGGGCAGGCGGGTTCCAGGCGCAGGTCAGAGCAGGCTGGTGAGACACAGGGCCTTCACCCCAGCTGGATGGCAGACCTCAGTTCAGTCCTTAGACACAGGTGACCACTCTGGGTGAGCGGGGCGTTGGAGCGCCATAGGCCGCTGGTGAAACAAGCTGTTCTGCCAAACTCATGCTCATTATTGAAAATCTAGAAAATGCAAAAGCTATACAGAGAAGAAGATAAAACCACTTAAATCCCGTCATCTACAGATAATCACTTTTAAACATTCTGTTATTTAGCATTTCCTTCCATTATTGCTACAACATATATAATAAATGTGTGTGTGTATACACGCACATATACATTTAAAAAATAAGATTGAGATCACACCATATACAGTTTGGTATCATAAGATTTTCTTTTTTCCACTCAACACGTACTGAATACTCTACTAAAAACTCTCCAAAACCCAGTTTAAAAGGCTGCTTCATCACCCGTTATATCGACATGCCATAATCCATTTTTCTATTTTCTCGTTGTTGGACTTTTAGTTTGTTTTGCATTTTTTAATTTTATAAATAATGTGACGATAAATATCTGTGTGCTTATACCTTTGACCACATTCTGGTTATTTCCTTAGAATAGATCCCTGGAAGTGGAGTTACTGAGTCAAGTGTTATGACTATTTTAAGGCTTGAGATATATATAGTCAAATTACTTTCCAGAAAGACTGGGGCTATTTACAATCTCACTAGCCGTGTATGTCACCCCCCCCCCGCCCCATATACCATCACAAGCATTGTATAGGATCATTACCTGAACCTTTGCCGTTATAGAATTGATACATGGTAACTCTTCCTAATTTTCATTTTTTATCACCACTGAGATTGAACAATCGTTTTTACATAAATTTGTGTGTGTGTGTATGTGTGTGTGTGTGTGTGTGTGTGATTTTTGGGGGGTTCGTATCCTTAGTTCCTTTTTCGTACTGGAATGGCACATACATTTAAATGTTAGTTTGAAAAAAGAGTACTCTCCCAATCTACCTCAGATCCTTCTATCTTATAACACAGTCTATGGTGAAGTCATTGCTGTACTTCAGACCACGTTAAGCTCTTTGAGGGCTAGTT